CTCCAACCTCTCCTCCAACCTCTCCTCCTCCTCCAACCTCTCCAACCTCTCCTCCTCCTCCAACCTCTCCAACCTCTCCTCCAACCTCTCCAACCTCTCCTCCAACCTCTCCAACCTCTCCTCCAACCTCTCCAACCTCTCCTCCAACCTCTCCAACCTCTCCAACCTCTCCTCCAACCTCTCCAACCTCTCCTCCAACCTCTCCAACCTCTCCTCCAACCTCTCCAACCTCTCCTCCAACCTCTCCAACCTCTCCAACCTCTCCTCCAACCTCTCCAACCTCTCCTCCAACCTCTCCAACCTCTCCTCCAACCTCTCCAACCTCTCCAACCTCTCCTCCAACCTCTGTCGTATCTTCCTCTTCTCCCTCCCTCCCCCGCCACTCACGACACCACCTGTTTTCGCCCTTCCTTTGTCACTGTCCTTTTCTCTTGCTCTTTCACGTCTTGCAATATCATCTCCTCCACCTCTCCTTTGCGCCCTTCCTTGCCTCGCCTCCTGCTTCGTCACACCTCCTTGTATTTCCTTCTTCCCCCATTCTCCCTCCTGCTTCTTCTTCATCTGCTGTTTTTTTTCTGAATATTTTTTTTTTGTATCAGTTTTCCTTTTTTTCTCTCTGGTTTGGTCTCCTCTTCCTGAGTCTTCCCTTTTCTGCCTCTTAATCCTCCTCTATCTTCTCGTCCTTGGCTGATCCTCCTTCCTCCTCTTCCTTTTCCTCCAGTGTAGCATCCTCTGCCACTTCTGTCTCTTATCTTCCTACCTTCTACCCCTCCTCCCTCCTTCGTCCTCCTCCCTCCTTCGTCCTCCTCCGTCCTCCTCCCTCCTTCATCCTCCTCCCTCCTTCGTCCTCCTTCGTCCTCCTCCCTCCTTCGTCCTCCTTCGTCCTCCTCCCTCCTTCGTCCTCCTCCCTCCTTCGTCCTCGTCCTCCTCCCTCCTTCGTCCTCGTCCTCCTCCCTCCTTCGTCCTCGTCCTCCTCCCTCCTTCGTCCTCGTCCTCCTCCCTCCTTCGTCCTCCTCCCTCCTTCGTCCTCCTCCCTCCTTCGTCCTCCTTCGTCCTCCTCTTCCCTCCCCGTCCCCCTCCTCTTCCCTCCCCGTCCCCCTCCTCCTCTTCTTTCTCCTCCCCCTCCCCCCTCAAGTTTGTTTTCCTCCCACTTTCCGCAATCAACTGTGAGGAGGAGGAGGAGGAGTGGTGCATTTAAGGAAGCTCAGAGAGGAGAGACCGCCCCGCGCATTATAAAATTACGTGTCATGTTGAGCTCATTCTTGCATTGTTTTTTTAAGACTATTATCCATTTTATTTATTTATTATATACTTTAAAGACTCGGTTTTTGTAATATTTTTCGTAACCTAAAAGTCTAAGCGAATTCCCAGGCACGTGCGTGCTGAACGCGAAACACGCCACTCGACGTGTGTGTGTGTGTGTGTGTGTGCGTGCATACAAACGTCCCTGTACGCATGGGATTGTTTGTGTGTGCGTTCGTGTGCGTACGTTTGTGTATGCGTATCTAGATTCGTGCATCGTAGTATGTGTGCGAGAGAGTTTGTTTTTGTTCCAGTACCTGTATAAAAGACAATTTATTTGTATATTTTTGCTTGTCAGTGTTGGTATATCAGTTTAACCAACCTCCTCTTTGTTTGTTTGGTCCTGTAACTATGTATTTTGCTTGTTACTATCGAGGGCGGGGTGTATGTGATTAGGAAATGACTTATGTATAAGTAAGGCTGCTCACGCGCGGGTGCCTCTCGGTCGCACATAGCTAATTGCCTTCTGCCCCAACAAAATGAATGACTGTACGTTGGTGCATGAGCGCATGGCGGAGTCGTATCACATTGCAAGGTGGGCTTTTGTTTCATGGCGTGTCGATGGCATTTGTTTGTGTCGAAGAGAAAATTCATGAGAGAGAGAGAAAGAGAAAGAGAGACCGAGAGAAAGCGCCCGACTTGCTAGGGGGGAGAGATTCAATTGACTTGTATTAAATTACGCACTTTAATCTCTTCTTTTATCCGTCCATCCATCCAGTTCCACCGCCATCAAGTAATCAGTTTCCCTCTAGCCGAGACACGCCTGTCGCTGATTTCATTTTTTTTCTTTTTTTTTCCTGTAAAGCATCTTCATCCCCGTGTTAGGATCTCTCCCTCCCCACTCCCCCACCCCTTCCGTCTTCCCTCTTCCCCTACCCCCTTCCCCCCCCCCCCTCCCCCTCCCCCTCCCCCTCCCCAGCATCCGTTCCACCCCGCCGTCCTTTGCATCTTCTCTCTCCCACTATTTTGTTGCCCCGATCATTACCCGACCCAGTGACCCCAGACGAAAGTGTGGTGCGTGAGGGGGGGTGGGGGTGGGGGTGCTGTGCGGTCTCCGCGAGGAGGAGGAGGAGGAGGAGGAGGAGGAGGAGGAGGAGGAGGAGGAGGAGGAGGAGGAGGAGGAGGAGGAGGAGGAGGAGGAGGAGGAGGAGGAGGAGGAGGAGGAGGAGGAGGAGGAGGAGGAGGAGGAGGAGGAGGAGGAGGAGGAGGAGGAGGAGGAGGAGGAGGAGGAGGAGGAGGAGGAGGAGGAGGAGGAGGAGGAGGAGGAGGAGGAGGAGGAGGAGGAGGAGGAGGAGGAGGAGGAGGAGGAGGAGGAGGAGGAGGAGGAGGAGGAGGAGGAGGAGGAGGAGGAGGAGGAGGAGGAGGAGGAGGAGGAGGAGGAGGAGGAGGAGGAGGAGGAGGAGGAGGAGGAGGAGGAGGAGGAGGAGGAGGAGGAGGAGGAGGAGGAGGAGGAGGAGGAGGAGGAGGAGGAGGAGGAGGAGGAGGAGGAGGAGGAGGAGGAGGAGGAGGAGGAGGAGGAGGAGGAGGAGGAGGAGGAGGAGGAGGAGGAGGAGGAGGAGGAGGAGGAGGAGGAGGAGGAGGAGGAGGAGGAGGAGGAGGAGGAGGAGGAGGAGGAGGAGGAGGAGGAGGAGGAGGAGGAGGAGGAGGAGGAGGAGGAGGAGGAGGAGGAGGAGGAGGAGGAGGAGGAGGAGGAGGAGGAGGAGGAGGAGGAGGAGGAGGAGGAGGAGGAGGAGGAGGAGGAGGAGGAGGAGGAGGAGGAGGAGGAGGAGGAGGAGGAGGAGGAGGAGGAGGAGGAGGAGGAGGAGGAGGAGGAGGAGGAGGAGGAGGAGGAGGAGGAGGAGGAGGAGGAGGAGGAGGAGGAGGAGGAGGAGGAGGAGGAGGAGGAGGAGGAGGAGGAGGAGGAGGAGTGGTGCATTTAAGGAAGCTCAGAGAGGAGAGACCGCCCCGCGCATTATAAAATTACGTGTCATGTTGAGCTCATTCTTGCATTGTTTTTTTAAGACTATTATCCATTTTATTTATTTATTATATACTTTAAAGACTCGGTTTTTGTAATATTTTTCGTAACCTAAAAGTCTAAGCGAATTCCCAGGCACGTGCGTGCTGAACGCGAAACACGCCACTCGACGTGTGTGTGTGTGTGTGTGTGCGTGCATACAAACGTCCCTGTACGCATGGGATTGTTTGTGTGTGCGTTCGTGTGCGTACGTTTGTGTATGCGTATCTAGATTCGTGCATCGTAGTATGTGTGCGAGAGAGTTTGTTTTTGTTCCAGTACCTGTATAAAAGACAATTTATTTGTATATTTTTGCTTGTCAGTGTTGGTATATCAGTTTAACCAACCTCCTCTTTGTTTGTTTGGTCCTGTAACTATGTATTTTGCTTGTTACTATCGAGGGCGGGGTGTATGTGATTAGGAAATGACTTATGTATAAGTAAGGCTGCTCACGCGCGGGTGCCTCTCGGTCGCACATAGCTAATTGCCTTCTGCCCCAACAAAATGAATGACTGTACGTTGGTGCATGAGCGCATGGCGGAGTCGTATCACATTGCAAGGTGGGCTTTTGTTTCATGGCGTGTCGATGGCATTTGTTTGTGTCGAAGAGAAAATTCATGAGAGAGAGAGAAAGAGAAAGAGAGACCGAGAGAAAGCGCCCGACTTGCTAGGGGGGAGAGATTCAATTGACTTGTATTAAATTACGCACTTTAATCTCTTTTTTATCCGTCCATCCATCCAGTTCCACCGCCATCAAGTAATCAGTTTCCCTCTAGCCGAGACACGCCTGTCGCTGATTTCATTTTTTTTCTTTTTTTTTCCTGTAAAGCATCTTCATCCCCGTGTTAGGATCTCTCCCACCCCTCCCCCCTTCTCCCCTCCCCCTCCCCCTCCCCCTCCGCAGCATCCGTTCCACCCCGCCGTCCTTTGCATCTTCTCTCTCCCACTATTTTGTTGCCCCGATCATTACCCGACCCAGTGACCCCAGACGAAAGTGTGGTGCGTGAGGGGGGGGTGGGGGTGGGGGTGCTGTGCGGTCTCCGCCTCTCCCTTTAATTATCCCTTTTCTCTTTCTCTTTCTCTTTTGTGTGTCTGTTTGATTTGGTTTGTTTGTTTTTTTCTTCTCTTTGTTCTTTGGCTTTGCTTCGCCTTTTTATTTATCTCAGCCTTCCCCCTCCAACTTTGATCCTTCTTTTCTCTTCTTTCTCTTCTTTACCTTTCCTTAGTATTTCTTCTCGTTATTTTAACTCTTGTTTCTCTCCCTCCCCCTCTCCCCTCCCCCTTCTATTGGCTCTCTGTGATTTCTTTTAAACTTCCTCTCTCTAGAACTTTCTTTTTCTCCTTTTTTTATCAGTATTTGGCGCTTTTCCTCCTTCCTTGCCTTCGTTCCTGCCCCCCTTGTTTCCACGCCCTTGGTCCTGGCAGCAGCAAGAAGTCCTATCCGCATGCCATGTCGTTGACCATGCAGTTAATTGTGCGGTTGCCATACATTTGAATAGGAAGTTAGCATGCAGTTCCTTGTGCGGTTGCCATAGATTCGACTAGGAGGTTACCATGCAGTTCCTTAGGCGGTTGCCGTGCATTTTGAATATAAAGTTCCCATGCAAAGTGATCATGCGGCCCACCATGCCTTATGAAACCTTCAATCGCCATGCAGTTGTCCCTCACAAGCCTCTCACTCTCTCTCTCTCCCGCCCCGCAGGAAGTTCGGATCGTCAGGCACCATCGAGACCCACGACACGATGTGCGTGCTGGCGGTGAACATCATCAACGAGAAGATCTACATTTTCATCTGGTTCTGGCTCGTGTGTCTGACGGCCATCACCGCGCTGTGGCTCGTCTACCGCGTGCTCATCATCGTCTCCTCCGACGTCCGCTTCAAGCTCCTTCAGGTGAGTGTTGGGGGGAGTGGGGGAGGTGTGGGGGGGATGGATTGGAGTGGGAAGGGGGAGGGTAGGAGTGGGATGGGAGGAGAGGAGGAGGGGGGTTGGAGTGGGGGGGAGGAAGGGGGAAGGGGAGGGTTGGAGTGGGGGGAGGAAGGGGAAGGGGATTGTTGGGGTGGGGGGGAGAGAGGGAGGAGGGAGAGGGGAAGAAGGGGGATAGGGGCGGGAGGGGAGGAGGGGGGGAAAGGGAAAGGGGCGGGAGGGATGGAGAGGGATGAGGGAGGAAAGGAGAGAGGAGGAGGAGGAGGAGGAGAGGGATCTTGAGTTGAGTGAGGAGGCCTTGTGGCGAAGTTTTTTTTTTTTTATATAAGAGCTGTGAGTTGGTAGGTGGGATGGATCATGGCGCGGGAGGGGGGGGGGGGGTAGAGTTGTGTGGGTGAAAAGGCATTGTGAATTTATAAATATATATATATTTTTTTTTTTTTGGGGGGGGGGTGCGGGGGGGGCCTGGGTATAGGATTCACGGCAGGATATGTAATCCTACCAGGCAGCAAATCGCCCCGAAATTATCGAAAACGTTCTGTGATATTTACGTAATAATTCGATGCGAAATTATTATTTATGTAGCCTCCCTAAATGGAGAAATTATGCTTCTACATTGTAAACTGGTGTGGCCCACTAGACACTCGTTAATGATGCGAATGTTTTCCCGTTTGTATCTGTCAATAATTTCGGGTAATAAAACGTTGTGCAAATAATTGTATGTTTAGTTTCTGTGGTGCATTTAATTGCTCACCTATTCTCCATCATTCTGTATTTTATCGTATATGCTTTATAATATATATATATATATATATATATATATATATATATATATATATATATATAATTTTTTTTTTTTTTTTTTTTATTATTATTATGAATAGCGTCTTGTCAATCAGATGCCAATGGTCGATCCGATTATCATATTTAGAGTAATATAAGCAGGGAAAAAAGATAATAACAATATCACATCAGTAAATAAGTGAAAAGATAAAATAAAAATCCGATGGAGATGAGAGGGCTAAGTCTAACTGATCAAACCGAGTGCTTGGTTTTGCCTAAACATTTATGATGCTCTTTTGTTTCGTGTGGGATTCGATCTGCTCTTGAGGGAGTCTCTTCGAATCTCTGTGTATATATTTTTTTCAGGTTAGGATAAGTAAGGATAGGTAAGAGCGTGGGAGAGGTTAAAAATATTGGAAGATGAAGTAAAGGGAACATGTACAAAGTAGCTGTGTTTATAGGATGATTATTAGCCTGCTGACGTACGTGTGTGGGGGTGAGGGAGGGAGGGAGGGAGGGAAGGAGGGAGGGAGGGAAGGATAATCATGATTAGGAGGGACGGTATAAATACATTTTGGTTTTTTTCATTCCCCTTTCTCCTCCCTTTTTATTCTATTTATACAGTTTTTCGTTTTATTTTTAATTATTTATTTTTTTGTATGACCTCTCTCGTCTCTGTGATGCTTTTGTTGACGCTGAGTTGCGTGCCTGGATCTCGGCCCGACCAGATTGGCGCCTCATTTGCTTTCCTTGTTTGGCTCTGGTTTGGCTCGTTTGCTTCGTCCTGTTAGTCTCGTGTTTGTTTGTTTGTAATTTTGTCTGTGCGAATAGGGAGTGTTATTTGTGTTTAGGGAGGGGAAGGTGAGATTTGTTCGAATCCGTTCGAAAGGGGCGTTACTTTCCAAGCAGTTTTATGACCTTTCGAATGGAATGTTTAGCGAGGACCTTTTTTTTTTTACATGGGGAGTGGGGGAGGGACGGGGTGTTGGGGGACATTCCTAGGCCTATTCATTAAACCTTGGGTTGCCTTCATGCCTTAGTTATTATTTTGAAGCCATTTCTTTCTTCTATGCCGTTGAAATTAACCTAGGCTGCATTTAAACTTATTCATCCCTGTTACCCTACTCAGAAAGGAAGGTTTGAAAAAAAAAATCGTCCCGTACTTTCTATTAATATATTCACATCATATCGCAGTAAGAGGCAATCTCTTCTCTCTCTCTCTCTCTCTCTCTCTCTCTCTCTCTCTCTCTCTCTCTCTCTCTCTCTCTCTCTCTCTCTCTCTCTCTCTCTCTCTCTCTCTCTCTCTCTCTCTCTCTCTCTCTCTCTCTCTTGGCCGTACCTCGTGACCAGCCGTCGGTGTGGGTCGCGGACTGGGTGAATGTCACCCCGACGGCGCACAAACGGGGCCTGGTTGATGCATTACTACTCGCCAGACCTTGCCTCCTTTGCGTCACCGTTTGGCGGGGATCCCCTTGGCACCAGCAGAAAGCGTTTACGGGCGAAAGAACACTTGAATTGGATTGCAATTATTATCATCATTACTATTATTGTTTTTATTATTTATTACAATATTTTGGGGTGGTTATTTTGAGAATTGTTTATTCCTTCCCCGTTGTTCGTCTGAGTTCTGGAGAAGCTGCTGTCTTCGTAGGAGGGTTGACAGTTAGCCTGATAAATGGCGGCGGGCGGCAGGGCAGCGAGGGTGCCTGACCCGGTCGCGGTCGGGGTGAAGGCGAGGGAAAGTAAAATGCAGCTCCCTTTGTGCGAGAGTCGAGAGGGGTCGGCCAGACTCCCCAACCGCAGCGGGAGGACCACGGGGCTCGCACATGCTGTTCTGGCCCTCGCTCGACACAGTAACAACACAGTTCTCTGCGCCGCATGACTCATGGCACTGCAGCCTTTGCGCGGGGGTTCAGCAGTTACCAAAACGGGGATAAGCGAACTGCGAATAGCAATTAACCTTTATTTAAGCTCCCGATTTAATTAAAAAGACAACAACCGCACGGCACGCGGACGGCCGTGTGGCCAGACGCGAAAGATTCCAAGCCCGTGACCACAATAGCGAGGAACCTGTTACACCAGTTGGAATAAAATTAGACACGGCACGAGACGGGGAAGGAAGCAGATTTGCGTCACTCGATTGCGTCATTCGCCGTACAAACGGCAGTGGGTGACATGAGCAGGTGAATTAGTACCCTGAGCAATTGGATACGCACTCGGCCCAAGCAAACACTCTGGTAAGAGGCGACTGTGCCTCGGGTCTTCAGCTTACAATTGCTTGCTTTCAGTGTAATGTACAAACAGACAAGACAAAACACGAGCGCTACACCTGATCAAAGAAAGCGGCTTAGGGGAGAGAGGCCGAGGGAGGAGGGGGGGCGGATCCTAAAGCACGCCTCAGAAACCCGTGAGTTCTCGCCTACCACGACTCGACCCATATCTCCATTCTTAACCCCCTCTCAAGCGCCTATATCCCTTTGTTCCGACCAGAATCCACCTCCAAAACTCCAATCCCCAAGCTCACCCCCCCACACACACACACTCATAACCCCGCCCCTCCCAACATCCCTACCCCAAACCCCGCCCCTCCCGACTTCCCTACCCCTAACCCAGACCCTCCCGTCCTCCCCTAACCCATACCCCGCCCCACCCCCATTCGTCCTCGAGGACAGGGCATCCCAAGGCCAAGACGGCATTGGGGTAAGCTGACTAGACCGACTTATCGCCGTCGGAGAAAGCCCTCGGTGTTATCCAAGCCGGATCGACGTCTGGGAATTGGATAAGGATGAGGAGGGATTCCAAAATGTAGGTTTTAGGATAAGCCATCGCCTCTTTTTAAGAAAATGGGGCTAGATTTTTCCGTTGTTGTTGAGGAGGCTGGATTTAAGGGGGTCATCACGCAGAGAAAGGTTCTCTCTCTCTCCATCGCGATTTTAGATTCACCAGAAATAGATTCGTTTTTGCTAGGCTCTCTGGTAGGCCTCGGTGCTAGTCGCGGTGGATGTGGTTAATGATAGCCGATTACAGTGGTGGTGGCAGGGTATGCGGGCATCTGTTGGGCGGCGCCAACCACTGCTCCACTTAGAATTGGTCGTCTGATTGAGCTCGTTGTAGTAATGTCAAACCTCGCGCACGTTTGGTTGTTTACGCGACACTCAACTTCGCCAGACAGGGATTTTCCTTCTGTGTTTGTAGTTCAGTCCAAATCTCTCGTTAAAGTGTTGATTCGAAGCGCGAAGATCGGCCGTTCTGACCCATAAGATGACAGAAGAGGATAAAGAGGAGAGAGAGAGAAAAAAAAAGAATGAAAACGAGAGGATGGACGCTGTGTGATTGGTCGAGAGGGCTGTGACGTCACGATGGGGATTATGTGAGCGAGGGCTGTGAGTGGCTGCCTTGTTCCCTCGGCTGTCACATCTCTCGCGCACTACGAAGAAATAAAGAGATAAACACAGTATTCAATTACTTCTCTTTTTACGCTCTACTACCTTATTTAGCTCGAGCAACCAAAGGAGATGAATATACAAGCGCTTATGTCAGAGTCGAGAAGGCATTCGTGATTTTTGTTCAAGATATTTTGGTCAGTTCAAGATCATGACACCCACACCCACGGACACGGAGGAGGAATTCTGTAATTATAATCAACATTTTGTGGTTTCCGCATTTCGTCTCATTTCCTTTTCTAAAGTTTAGCGTCATACCTCTTTATTTCCCCCTTCATGACATGTTGGTGGAATTTGTATTGATCCTGACAGACATAATTAAGATTGAAGAATACCCTAAAGGAAATATCCCCATAGTATGAATAATTTGACAGTAAAGATAAAAGAAAAGAAAAGAAAAGAAAAAAAACAGCTCCAGTAAATATAAATGAAAAACAACCCCATCTAGAAAACGAAAATAATCAGTCTACTCATTATTTTAATCTTCCGGCTGTGTTCCATTTATCAGTGTAGTACATGCTACTACATTTAGTACACATGCTACTACTATACTTTGCATTGTGTTCGACTGTAAATTTCGCTGAAGTTTTGCCCCCTTTGTACACGGAACCCCAGACGCGTCTCCTTGCCCAGTCTGCCTCTTGGACCCGAACTCCTGCTTCGGTGTCCAGCTTCGGCTTCATTTGCTCGGGCTTCAGATCCGTTGCATCTCCAGCGTCGCATCCGTCGCCCAGCTTCCTC